GGCTGGTTAGAACGAATCGTAGTTTGAAGTTGCCAAGCTGTGCGCCACAGCGATTCAAACTTGGGGAACAACTCCAGGCAATTTATGCTGCCAACTTTACAATACCAGCCCAGACCCCTGAGGCTCAAAATATTCAGCAGAAGCCTAAACCTCCGTGCTCTTCACGTGAACAAACCCCACTACATGGTGAAGCCCGGAATTGCATCAGTCCCGCAAGGGGAAACTCCCGTGCGGCTGCTGACCGTTCTTTAGACCAAATGACAGCGCCTCTGCTTGCCTCGACCAGCACGAAATGTTCGCCCATTAGTTGCCAGTTGCATCAGGCAGTCAGAGGGTGTGGTTGCGGTTACGGTACCTTTTTACCGTAAAAAGCAAACTCTCTAGGCTCCAATGACATCAAAAAATGTGCTCGGTAAAATGAGTCACCTCGCAGAATCATCGCCCGCCTACAAGGACAGCAATCAGAAGAATTTGATGAATCAGGTAGAAGCTGAGCTAAATTACTGCTACGCCCATGTTTGGAAAAATTGAACCGGAAGCCATCCAAAATCGCGCCGAGACTCTTACAATAAATTCATGGATGCCGGGAGAAGCTTAAGATCAACTACCTAACTTCGGTGTAGACGTTCTTCTCAAAAAAAACCGGACCCGGAAGCGACCTAAAAGCCATTAGAAGCTTGAAGATACAACCTATCACCAAAACAATGTGGAGTATGCCGTTAAAGGCCGATCCGGAAACTAAATAAAAATCTATGGTGAAAACTACAGACTATATCCACTAAATTCACCAAAAATAAGCTGGGGAATAGCTTCAAGGTACCAAAACTACAAACTCTAGCTCTCGGATACCTTAGTGATTCCATGACACCAAAATAGCCCCAAAACTCTGCTCTTCACCGCCCAATCACCAGCACAATTTGCACACATTGTTCACCCTCTGGTTGCCTGCCCCGGCTCTGCACGCGTCGTACAAAAAAGATCTCGGATCATCTTGATGAAGCCGTGCATTGCATCAGTCTGCCGCGGCTACCCCCGGGTTGCCTTCTCTGGGTACCGTGTGCACCCGGGATGTTCACGTGGATAGCCCGGGGTCGCGGGGCGGTGGACGCGTCGCCGCCTTCTCCGCCCTCAATATTAGGGAGGGGCGGAGCCAAGGCCGGCAGAGCCCCCACCCCCAACACACACACACATATACCAGCAGCCCGCAGTTGTGAAGGCTCTTGAGCACAACAAGCTTCTGAAGACTACTGGATATTTAAAGCTGATTTACTTTACCCCTTACTACTTCGACCATAACGACCAGATGTACTGCACAATGGAACCGTCAACGAGTCATCACGACGTTTTGGAACACATCGAGTTCATAGCCGCCGACACGGTGAGTACCACGAGCCTGTAGCTTCAGATTGTTATCGAAAAATTTCGATTTTGGCGAGATTTTTTCGATTTTTGGCTTTGGCAGTCTCTGAGAGCTTATGGAACGTCAACGTTGACTTTTCGACCATTTTTGAAACTTAAATTTACTCATTACTTTTTACAGCTTTTTATCTACCTAATTTTAGCACTCGTTTATTATCCCAAAAGCCATTAAAATAGCGATCTGTCCTAAACCCGCGCCTGGAGCCTCAATTGTGCCTCTTCTATAATTTTAAAAAGTTACGTAAACTTAATTTTCTGTACTTTTTGATATAACTTTTCCACTAATAATTTGATTTTATAAAAACAATAAATTATCAATCTAACATGAATCCCCGGGCAGAAATTAGTGCACAATTTTGATCTAGGCGCACTTCTGTTCTTTCCTCTTCTATAAAGTTTATACCCCGGCCTCAAACTCCAGCCCGCCAGTATAAAAACTGATGCCCCAGCATCTGTTATTTTAGAAACCACAGTTCTTTTCCCCCCTCCCATCCCATTGACCCGTCGCTGATCAAATATAACCGGCGAGGCGAGCAGTTTGTAAACAAAACACCCTTTGTGCCCCGGCCCCCACGCCTACTCGCAATTTTCCCCGATTCCGAACACATTCCGTCCCCGAAATTGGCTAAATCATGGCCAGTTTTATTGCAGTTCGGCTTTTGGGTGGTTTTCCGCTCATTCTTCGGGCCTGACCAATCAAATTGTCAGCCCGGTTATCGCGTCCCTCGCCACAGTACTGACCTCAGCAAATTTTTGGCGAAGTCTGATATTAGATGAAGAGCTTTGCGACTTTGTTCAAAACAATTTTCTTTTCCTTGAAAAGTCTGATCTCCAAGTCCGTTTGCTCCTCTGAACGGTTTTTGGCGATTGGCGTCGCACGTAGCCTCGCGTAACCGGATCAAACTTGTTTTATTTTTTACTTGCTTTGCAAAATTCTTTTTTTACTATCTCTTTCAAAACACCTGCCAGAAACCTCTAGAAAAACTCGATTTTCACTTCCCGTATTCAATTTCGATCCGCTCCCTCGCATCTGCGAGGTGGGCGCTGTTTTCACCCTCGTTCAGTACAACGTAGATCTAAGTTTGATAAAGGGCTTGTTTTCGCGCGCCTCCTCCAGCAGCACCCTCATTTTTGCCACCCATTGTATTCTTGTAGCCAGCCCCGGTGGGGTAGAGAGAAAATAAATCATTTTGGTTCGAGGGATCGGACTGATGGAACTGTCGAAGAGTTCTTTGCTAAATGTTGATTTCCAGATGGGCGGCGGCCACAACACGGCAGTGCGAAACATGATTGCCGGCGCGCTCATCCATAGGTTACATCAATGGTGCGTGAACCTCTTCTGGATCACGATTCTCTGCGTGATCGGCTACGTTGGCGACGAGCAACAAAAGTGAGTTTTATTACGGATATATTCGGTTAGTTATCACGGCTGAGTGGATGCACTTGGTCGATATCGAGCGTTGTGATATGCACGGGTGATAAAGCCGGTTGTTGACGGAAAATTGATGGGGTTGCCCTTATGGAGGGCGCCGTCACTTTTTTTGTAGTATCTAGTTTTACACGCTGCTTTTTCATATGAAAAACTAGTCGGTAGATTATTAAATTCCTTTTCAATAAGCGTTTTTATCCCTATTTTTGCAGATGCTCAGCGATACAACTCAACGAACAGCGACACCACAAACGGAAATCAATGCACGCCGAGCGGCCCCGATCGCGCACCCGGGATATTGCCGAGATCGAGATGAAGGTGTGTCTTACCGCTTTTTATTAATCACCACCGGATCCCCGCTCCCGCGAAAATTGCGCCCCACTTTTCGTCCTGATGGATGGCCGATGGCTGTTTGGGGCAAACAACGGGTTTTCCTTAGTTCCTGTTACTTCTCTCGAAGCTTCCAAAAAGGCCTGGAAGTGATGAAACCGGGCCCATCACCTTAAAGCGATAAAACCCCAATGAAATTTTGAACTTTCCACGCGCCGCCTGAAATATATGGCCCACTTTACAAAGATTGAAATTTGTTTTGTTCCCCGCAGCAATCACCCAAATTTCCCAAACAACTTTTTGTCAACATTGCCGCCTTATCGCGCCTTCGGGCAAATATGGCGCGATTTTCGGGGGCTGGGTGGTCATCGGTCAGCCGTTCTGGGCCACGTGGCAAGGAAATAAATTAGTTTAAATTAATTTAAATTTAATTACTTAATTTCCAGCTCCTCCGCCACCTCACCAGCCCGCAAAACGCCGGCATTCGGCCGGTCATCAAGGCGTCGTCGCGGAAACGTCACGCCGTCGCCTCCAGGCCTCCGTCACCGCAGCTCTTCGACATCCGGGAAGAGCCTGAGGAGATGATCATCAACTAGTCGCGTTTCGGCACCCGCCGTCGGTCCTAAATTTTCTAGGCGCCTCTCCCAATTCTGGCTTGCTATGCAAATTTTCCCCCCATCACCCCTGAACGCCCGGTGAATTGCCGCGAGGTGGGCGCGGGAAATTCGTGGAAATCCTGAAATTGAATAGCATTAATTTTACAAAATTTCATCCGGCTTTTCCGCACCCACACCCTTATCTATCGCAATACTTTGTAGCAAGCCCTATAAATTCTAGTCCACCCTCGGTTCGGGGTATACTGCCCGTCTGGCAGTAGCCACAACCATCGAACCGTGTTTTCCCCCCTCCTATCTGTGAATACGAAGCACTAAAAACCCCCGTCACTAGGCGCCTTAGCCGCGTTGTCTCTCCCCGAATTCTCACTCCCTTCAACTCCTCAGTACACCTCACGCGTGCAGTGCACAATTACAAGTAAAATTCGCTATAATACGTGTGATTTCTCAATTTTTTTATGGTCGGAGTTTGTAGTTTAACGATTTTCTGGTTTTTTTTTTTGATACTTTTAAGCTTCAACTCCTACCAATCTAGTCGATATGCAATTTTTCAATTTCCCCCATCCACTTGAGATTTCATTTGGTACAACGTCTATGGGTTTTCACCACCAACTTGCCTAGCATTTCGACTTCAGAAAATTAACGTAGCGAAACGTGGTTGCGCACGTAAGCGTCTTGTACGTAGCGTCGCGTACTTACGTAAACGTCATTAACGTAACTCGCCCCTTAACGTACGATGTGATTGCCGCCAAGGCTTTTCCTTTTCCCCCAAGCTTTACACGTTCTCAACTTTTCTCATGATGTGCCTTATATTTTCTCGTTATCATCACCTCTACGCCGATACGTGTGATATCATCAAGTAAACTGTGTTTCTCCCCGATCCCGATTTTGCTGGTGCGGAGTAAAGAGATTTTTTCGAGCGGTGTTGAGCTTTAAATGCACAATATTGAAGGTTTTATTGATACTTTAAATAAATGCGTGAAAAATGAGCATCAATGAGGCGATAAGTGAGTTGGAGGTTGAAGAGATCGGGCCGTGTTTGGGGAAGGGTTCTATCTTTGTTTTTAGAGCGTACTTCCGGTTTTTAGGTTTTAAAAGGGTTCGAATAAGAAAAGGGTTTCTTTTTTCTATATACCAGTATATCTTGAGGGTGGACAAGTAAAATTAACGCACAGAATTGCGCGTTAGGTTTTTAAATAACGATTTCAGGCCGAATGAATGATGGCCACGCCAAAAGTGGGAATCCATGTAACGTAGTGGTATAGGTGGGCAAAGCCGGCGAGACCCGAAAAGTAGATGAGCAACATGACGGCTACGTGGAATGGGCCCCAGTCGACGACCCCGCCCACCAGGATCATCAGCGTCATCGGCCATTGCGCGTACTGAAAAGTCGGTTATGTTACGAATTGCTTCTGAAACGCGTTAATTACGGTTTTATAGCTCGAAAAAGTGGCTAAAATTGGTCATGAGACAGCGGACTTATTAAACTTTGGCATTTGTTTTGGCGTGCATTTTGATTTTTCCAGGCTTATTTCAAGTACATGTAAGGCTTCAATTACGTTTTTAGACAACATAATGGTTTCCTAACGTTTTTGAATTTTTCTAATTTTATTCTTATATTTTCAGTTATAAACAACTTCCGGGGGCCTCCGCCAACATTTTTTAAAACGCTTTTAAACGCTTATTTTTCTGGTTTGATTATTACCTTTTTATAAGTTAAAATAGCGCCAGGCTAGCTTATAGCTTGTTAAAGCACATTAAAACAAGTCTGCCATTTTCTAATAATTTTTTTGCTTGTTTATAGCTTAAAGAAGTTTCGGGAGATTCCGTAAACATTTACAATTTTTTTCTGCTTTTAAACCTATTTTTACCCTTTTTCTAGCCTAACATATCTTTAGGGTTCTTCCACAACCCACCAGCAAAAAGCAATGGTGGTAGATGACGCGGGGCACACTCCGTACGAGGCCTATGAACACGCAGGATAATGATATGATCAGGACGAGGATGAGCAGAATCAGGCCCGTGCATACCCAACTGAAAATCGACAAGGTATTTAAGGCTCTCGACTAGATTACCCGGCAAACTGCGGGAAAACTGACAGCGGGGCGTAGAATTCGCGGAGCTGGTAGACGACGTCGGGCGTCGACCGGCTGAGCGAGCCGATCCAGATGGCGCCGGCGACCAGGTAGAAGAGCTCGGCGGCCAGGATCGAGAAGGCCTAAAACGAGGCATAGAAGGGGGGGGGGAATGTGGAAACTTTCAGTTTAAGGGGATCCCTACTGCTATACTTCGGGCCATTATCCCAACAAGCTAAAATACCGACAGCCGAAATGTTTATAGACCAGATCCGGACATCCCAAAACCTGACAGGGGAGCCCTGCCAAAGATAATCCCGACAGGAAAAAATACCGACGGGGGAAATTACGTCATCGGAAATCCCGCTAGTCACAATCCAGATAGGACAAAATGCCGACAGGCCAATACCCGGACAGTAAAAATACCGACGGTAAAATCGAAGCTAAAAGCCTGATAGGCTAAATTCCGACAGGCTAACATCCGAACAACCGAAATACCGACAGCTAAAATATCGAGAGCTAAAAGCCGAAATCGCCGTACGGACTATGGCTGTCGGGATTTTCATTGTCGGTATTTTGACATCCCCGCTTACCGTAGCCGGATGCGTCGTCCCCGTCTGTACGTCCGCGGTGCTCATCTTCGGTGTGGAGGGGCACCTGGAAGAAGCTGGATTTCTCAAGAATTTGTACAGCATAAAGGTCCAGCAGCGATTGGCTTTTTCCCTGGAGTCTAGCGGTAAGTTCAATTTTTTAAAGGGACGGTATCACCTCAAAAACCTCACCTGACATCTCAGGGTCAGGAAACGGAGACGGCGATCTTCGTCTCCAGCGCCAAGGAGATGCCCAAGAAGAATTCGGCCGTCGAGAGGGAGCACAGGCTTATCCACCTGAAAAATATCAAGTTAGATGAAGCCTAGGCTTAAGCCTAACCTAAGCATAAAGCTAAGCCTAAACTAAGCCTAAGCCCAAACCACTCACCAGTTGAAATCTGCCGGATCCGGGTTTGACACGACGGTGTAGAGGCACCAGCCGACGAACACCGAGCAGAGACCCTGAAAAGACAAAGTGAAGTAGGAAAAACCTCCATTGAATTTTTCAGGACAAGCAAAAATGTAGGTCCGGGGAATCGAACCGGGGCACTATGATTCCCAGGCAGCCACGCTACCTACTGCGCCAAGCTACGGTTTGTCGAAAAACGCTTCATCGGCCGTTAACGGGGGATGAAGCGCGAAATTTGGCTCAAGGTTGGGCCTTAATGCTGGTAATAGGGTGTATTTTTTTGATATAAGTAAAAAAAGCGATAGTGTCAATTTTTAGATATAAATATATACAAATCAATGAATTAACAAATACGCTCTCATTGTAGGATGATAAACACCGGCGCCTAGGGGTTGGTTACCGCCGTAACCAAGGGTGTATAATGGAACCTAGGGGTGACGGACTAGATGGGGGAAGGGTGGATTAGTACACCAACACACCAATTAACGGCTTCTGCCCTGCCCGGGGGCTATCCGGGAAAGAGCCGCCAATAGCACATCTACTCTCATTAAATTGGAAATACGTCGAGAAGCCTTAAAGGGTTGTGAAGGCCGAAATGCGTAGATTTTTGAGCGGAGCTAAGCCTAAGCCTGACCGAAGCCTAAGCCTAATCATCACCGACTCACCAGCAAAAATATATGCGGCAAGATGAGGTGCGTATTCCTTGCCGCGAGCCCGAACATGGCCAATATCGACGCGCCGATCATGAACAACGACAGCGCGGAGAGCAGCCACCATTCAGCGCTGAAAATAAAAGTAATTTTCGAGACTTTCAGTACGTTTTAAGCTCGATAACGGATCTGGAAATCGGGAAAGTCAGACTTTAAGCGAAAAGTTACCTAGGGGTCTCCCGTTCCGGATACACGGATTTGCTCTGAAGAATGGCAGCAATAATGGCCAACGAGCCGAGCAGGCAGGCACACGACAGGACGAGCTGCACCAATACACACGTCCATGACAGCGATCGTGTCGAGACCATCCTGAAAAAAGCGTTTAAATCACGTCAAGATTTAAAGCGTTTCGAAGGTTCGTCGATTATACGAAAAATTTCAACGGAAAATCCGTAGTTTTATACGATTTTAGCGGCTAGAATTTTTTTGGGTATATTTAAAACCTAGCACTTTCAGAAATACGGTAAAAATTGGCTTACGAAAAATCATGGATCAGAAACTTTACAAAGACATTTATTTTTGAATGTTAAGGGAGCAAATTTGAATTTTGTCAAATTTAAGCATCAAGCCTAAGCCTAAGCCGAACACGCATGAAGGAAATCTAGTGACCACTCCGCGGAGGTCTAGGGGGGAAGTTCCAGAGCGGGGTAGGGAAATTGGGTATTTTGACGGAGGGGACGCTCCCTCTGAATCCCCTTTTTCTAAGGAGCCTGAGAAGCTGGGCCGCATCTCCTGCAAGCTGGATAAAGCGCTGCGCGTTGTTTGTCTCGAGTAGGAGGCGGACATCCGGGTAATTGAATTATTTAATTGGAAATTGGCTTGATTTTGTGTGGGATTAGGCCCAAGCCTAACCCTAACCCTAAGCCTAACCCTAAGCCTAAGCCTAAGCCAAGCCTAAGTCCAGCCAAAGCCTAAGCCAAGCTAAAGCCTAAGCGTAGGGCTAAGCTTAGGCCTAATCCCAGGCCTATCCCGGCAACCCTCAAAATTCGAACCGAAAAAATTCGAAAATTCAAATTTGGGAAGACCCAATTTTGGGCTCCAAAAATATGGGCCCAACCGGCCGGCTGGCCCTGCAGAAGATGCGAGAGGACAACGAAGGAAAAGCCCCCCGATCAAATTAGCCTCCAAAGGGAAATTAACGCGCGCTACCAAGTGGCCCGTCCACATACACACACAGCCTGCCACTCTGTCCGGGGGCTGCGAATGGCTCCTTTTTGCGGGGGTGAAAGATGCGGGTGGAATGGGGTGCGAATTGCCGTGGATCTACTGGATTGGATGCGGAAAGTTGGGGCTTTATTTGGGGCCAAAGATCGGGGCTTAAAGGGATGGTGCCCGGAAGAATGACTTGAAGTTTTGACTTGACTATCCCTTTAAAGCCTAAGCCTAAGCCTAAGCCCAAGCCTAAGCCTAGCCCGTTTTTAAGCTATTTAAATGTCGACAGTGTGCCGATGACGTTCCCAAGTTTCATCACGGAATTCTTCCAGAACAACCTAGACTCCAGAAACGTCAGAACAGAAGCTGAGTCCTGTCAATAGGTGTGGAAAGTAGGGCTTGCAAGAGGGCAAAACCGGGCTTATCAGACAAAAATTGATGACTCTTCTGCAAGTAGCCCGGCGGAAACCCGAATTTTAGCAGAAATCCCGAAATTCTACGAAAATTATGTAGGGATTGTAGGCGGAAAAAGCCGATAATGATGGAGACGGAAATCCAAGGTATTCTTGAGTGATGTCTACTAATCCGTGGCCTATACAAATTGATGAACGCGCCCTTGATTAAATAAAGGGGTAATTGCTGGAAAAATGACGGAAAAAATTCTTAAGGAATGCTTAAAGATTATGCCAATCCGATTTTTTGAAGGGGAAAGCAACTAAGAGGGCAAGCTAGCAGGGGTTTTAAGGAAAGCGATCTTTAAGAGAACTAGCAGAGGTTTTTTGGAAAAAATACGCAAGAGGGTATGCTAGCAGAGATCTTTTAGGACAGCATCGCGACGAGGCAAACTAGCAGAGATTTTTGATGGAAGCAGTTCGAACAAGTTAAGCTAGCAGGAATTCTCTGAAAGCAAAATCCGCTCGTGAAAGCTAGCAGAGATTCTTGGAGGAGAAATCTTTGAAGGTAAGTTGGCAGGACCTTTTCGAGAAAACGGATATTGCAGGAAAATAGCAGGGATTTTTTAGGACAGGCAAATTCAACAGGCATGCTAGCAGAGATTCATGAGGAAGGTAAGCTAGCAAAGATTCGATGGCAGAGAAATCGGCTCTTGAAAGCTACAGGAGATTCCCGAAAAAAAGCCGAAAGTCTTTTTGGAAAGCCAGACGTATCAAAATACCCCTCAAAACGCGCCCGTATTAAAATAACCGGCTAGTCGTTGGCCGGACACTGTCTCTCTCGTCGAGTGTTACGAGAAGTGAGAGGGGCGGAAGACCCCACAGGTGAATCTCGAGTATCTCCAGTCGAAGCACGGAAACACAAACAGACAGCTTTTCCTAGCCCTGGCAACAAGAAGGGAAAAACCCGCGACGAGACCGGCACATCCTGCAGTACCACTGCATGGGGTGAGAGAAGCCCCCGTCCCGAAAGTATCACATTACCACCACCACCTATTGAAATCCGAGGGCACCCGGTGCGCGCCGACCTCCGAAAGTTGGGTCCAACGCTGGAATTTCGTGATTTCTTGCAAACTACAGTGATAGCTCGACCCTCCTGGAGCTTCCGGCCAAAAAACAAAAAGTTTGAACCCGGGCCTTGTGGGTGCTAAGCGAGCGCTGAACCAACTGACCACGGGGTCGAAGGGGATTGCGATTTAATGCATTTAAAAACGCTACTGCAGAAATTTTCGACAAAAGTGGAGGAATTCCAAATTTTGAAAGGGACCGGGAATTTATATAAGAATTTATAAGACATCAATCAGCCCAAAAGTGATTTAGCTAAATTTGTAGCGCAGCCGGTGGATTTCAAGGGTATTTTTAAATAAATTTACCATTAACACCTCTGGAAAACGAAAGTTTAGTGTTTTAAAGGGACCGTGAAGGCAAAATCCCAGGGTACTGTAAGAACTGGAAACTTGTTAAAAAAACGAGAAACCACAAATTTTACATACAAATTTTGGCCTCAGGATCAATGCTCGAATGCCTTTCGAGCCGGAAAAGCGGGCCATAGAACGCGGCAACGGCTTTCCGGAGAAAGCCTGGAGAGCACCCACCCCAAAATTGGCAGGTCAGTGTGGCTATGGGAGGAGAAGCTGAAGAAGAAGCCCACGTGGAGAAGCCAGAAGGGGGGGCTCGAATTGGCTCAACGAACCATGAACGGAAATGCGCAGAACCGACGACATGGCGTTGAAAAAGTCAAAACATAAGTATCTGAAGAGCAAACAAAATTTCAGCGCGACGCTGTAGTTTTAGGTTCTCAGAAAAGGGTGACACCGGGGGGAAACTCGCAAAATCTGCTCGAAATGCGTTTTTTTGGGGTCTTAGAAAAGGGTTTCTTTCAAAATTTCGAAATCCATAATGTCGAAAAAACCCAAATCATATGCCAAAAACTTCGACATTGTGAATTTTAACATCATGAAATTTCGACTTTATGAAATTTCGACATTATGATACCAAATACCTCGACAAGCGTACCGGCTTAGACTCTACACTTTGGAGAGACCATAACGTCCAAAATCTAAAAAAAATAGCAGGGAATTCGATTAGATTCGAAATTTTGAAGGGGAAGCCGATATCAAAAAATTAAGAAATTCACATAATTTGTTTGCCTAACTTAGTCTAAGTCTTACTAACTTAGAGGCGCCACAGTACAGAAAAATTGAAAACCGTACCGTACAGTAGGCCTCTTCCGGGAGTACAACGCTTCATTTCTCTTTACAGCCCTCGGAAGCAAATTGCCTTTTTACATAATCGACAAAAAAGCAATTACCACAATTTTTTAGAGATTTTAAAGAGAGCGTGACAGAAAGAAAAATAGCTATTTGCATAATTTCTCAGCTTTGAGCTTTTTAAAGGCATTGCGACATTTAGAATGCAGGTAATTTGCATGGAACGCGCGTCTGGGACTCTAACGGGACTGTGACACCAAAAAGGTGCTAAATTCAGCAACATTGAGCTCTCTGTATTTCCTATATGCGTTTTATTGCTTGTCCCTCCTCCATTTCCCCGATTCAACAATAGCCAAACCGTACAATAGACCCTCCGACTACACTACATTCCTCGTTACACCCTTCCCCCGGAAAATGCACTGTTTTCCACCCCGATTCCCCATAGCTGCTGCTGCCGCTTCCCGTTTTCCGTTGCATTCCGTTTTGTTCGTGGAGATTCGTGACGAGAGCCCCCTCGATTGCCCGGGGGGACACACACGGAAAATTGCATGTTTAATGGGATGGACAGGAGGGGAAGAATGGATATATTGGGGTCGGAACGGACGGAAGCAAAACAAAGCACCAGACCCGCCAAATGCCGATTATGGCTTCTGTGTTGTCTGGAAGTCGGGCGGAAACCGTTTTAAAGGCAGCGTGACAGCTCGGAAAGGAGGATTTTCGTTAGACCAGAGGAGTCGGACAGCTGGAAACTGCGAATTTTTCCAGGGTTGGAAGAGACTTGAAGCGGATGTGGCTTTAAAGGGGGTGTGACAGCTCGGAAATGAGGATTTTTAGCAAGACAGGAACAGGATAGAAGCGAAAGTCGTTTTAAAGGGGATTGGACGGGTCGGAACGATAAATTTTTGGCACGACTGCGAGAGGCTAAAAGCGGAAGTGCTAAAATTGTCGAAACATTTCTAAGGGATATTCACAGGTCGGAATCGGCCGGGTTTTCCACCTAAAGGGATGCTGAAGGCAAATTCATAAGGAAGGGGAGGAATAAGCGAAAGGTCTGCTGGTGTTCCACGATTCGAAAATACGATAAATTATCCTGGGGGGCCCCTATATATTCGGGTAAACAAATTGAAAGGCAAATGGCCACCTGGTGGTGAAGGCAACCAGGGAAATAAATGAAGAAATGGGAAGCGCGTAGAAAAATCGGGCAATGCACGAAAGGCGCGGCATTAAATGAAAATACCTCAAAATTTGCATCTATTAGTTGTAAGAAAACAAAGGTTTGTATTAGTTAGCATAATTCAGGTCGTGCCGTTGTAAAAATTAAATTAAATTAGATCAAATGAATTCAATTCAAGTGCTAAAGAGCGGGAATTAATTTGTATTTTAAGCCTAAGCCTAAGCCTAAGCCCAAACCTTAGTCTAAGCCTAAGCCTAAGCCCAAGTCCCACTCACTTGTTGATATTCATCTTGGCCGCAAAAATCAGATGACTTTCCAGA